CCAAGTATCTGACGAGCAGCTGCAGAAGCCACAAAGTCAATTGACCGTTGATGAAAGAGAACGGTTTGCTGGGCAACACTTAAAAAGTTGGCTTGCTTTTTTCTTTTCAATTATCTAATCACAAACGCGTGAGCGTTCTTATCTGGCATTGGCTCGAGATGATGCATTGGAAATACTTGAATAAAATCATTTTCAAATTCGGCTAATTAAGGAGTAATATATTAAAGAAAAAAATAGTTGTAGTTTATAAAAAAGATGCTCAGGAAATAACTTACCTTCGGCGGAGCCCATCGGTGGCGGCACACCTTCCATGCGTCCGACGCCCATGTGATTGTTGCCCATGACGTGCGAGTTCATGCCCGGCGATGCGGCAATGCTGGTTATGGTGGAGGGGTATCGCTGATTGCGCCATCGCTGGTAACGCACCAGCGCCACAAAGGTGCCAATTAAAATGAAGATGACCAGAAGCGAAATTAGAATGAGGGTGCTGAGCCAGGTGGCACTGCTGCTTCTCTCCCAACTGCAAACTGGTTTCAGCCGGTACGTGTTTCCGTTCAGTATGAGGTCTGCCGTGTCCTGCAGTCGCACATCGTGTCCGGGACTGCACTTGCAGTAGTGATTTGTCTGGTTCACACCGGCCACCATCTGGCTAATAAGCTGACAGACACTGTAGTCGGTGACGCACTGGTCGGTGCTCACGCAGCGGTCATCGAGCCTGGCAATGGGCAGACAGGTCATCTTCAGGTTCGATATATACGAGTGGTTGACGAACTTCTGCACTTCAATGTACTCCTTCATGCAGACGCATTTTCTCTGGTGACAGACGGAGTTGTCCGGACATTGGTTCGGACTAGAGCAGGACGGTCTGGTGAGGCTTTGCAGGTGGCCACGGCGGTACACGGTGACGCGGTGTTCGGTGGCCACCAGGTGTAGGTGGAGGACGAGCGCGAAGAATACGAGCAGGTTGAGAAGCACTCTGCTCGGCCAGTGGAACACTTCATAGGAGAGCATGATTCAATTTGGGTTGTTGGCTCCTGGGCTCAAACTATGTGAGCATCACAAAACGACACCGAAATGACAACTGATGAAGATGATGTGCGCCCAGGGTTTTGTAGCACTGAAACGGCGGCTGCATTCCCCTCTCAATCACGTTTGACGGCACTGTGCAAAGTGAAAGTGATGTTCTCTCTTTCCTTATCGGTGTGGAACATCAGAGAGTTAAAGAGATAGAGAAAAAGAGAGAGAGAAAGAGAGAAGTAATTTATAGTGCACGTTTGTTTGTTGCACTAAAAGTCGGTTGTTTCAAGTGAAGCAAGTCATTAGGCGGCAAAGTGATTTTGTGTCATCACCAATTCGGCTGCCAGCAAGTGGATGAAAGTAATTTGACTCCTGTTAAGTTTTCTTTCAAATAGATATATTATTTCATCATTTATGTAACTAGCGTCATTATTGTGAAGCAGTGATAAGCAATTTACAGCGGCTTGAGAGAAAGAGAGAGGGGGGAAAGTATAAGCTGGGACTGCCTTTAGCAGCGCCGGTCTGTGCAGGCCGATGGCGCCAATGCAAATGATTTGCACCGTCAATCGGCCGCCTTTTCCTTCATCCTTGGTCACATGTGCCATGCCATGCGCCAACAGCTTGTTTCAGCAGGCGCACTCAAACAGCAGCAGTAGCAGAAGAAGAAGAAGAGGCAGTAGTACCAGGCACTGCCACCACCACANGCCAACAGCTTGTTTCAGCAGGCGCACTCAAACGGCAGCAGTAGCAGAAGAAGAAGAAGAGGCAGTAGTACCAGGCACTGCTACCACCACCACTAGCACCAGCAGGCTACACTTTTTATCCTTTCAAGACTGGCCGTCTCTCAGTTCACTCGCCACTGCTTCTGCCACTGCTTTGGCTACTGCTACTGCCTCTCGCAGTCGACAAATTGCAGAGGATGGAAGGAAAATCTCGTTATTGAATCAAATTGTTTTCATAAGTCGGAACTTATGATCGTGGTGGTGCGAGTTTTGCAGACTGCCTCTATAGCCTCAGTGAGCAATGCTCACCGAGCTTTCCGACTGCAGTACGGCAAGGACTGCCACCGACGAGCAGTCTATGCATTCCAGCACTGTTCACCAGTCAGCCATTACGCCAGAAACGGTGCTCCTGGGCTGCACTGGCGGCAGGCCCGTGAGCGGGAAAGCAAGCCAACGCAAAGCAAGTCCTCTCGGGCTCCATGTGTTTCCATTCACCGATTACACTCAATGGACTGACTTTGTGTCGACAATGTCGATGCGGCAATAGTATCCGCCAGTTCAGTTCCCCTCTTTCCTTCTTGCTGAACATTGACAGACACTGGATATTGTAATTGCTCGGTACCGCCAATGCTTCCACTGCCGCCGCCATTATCAACTACCGTTTCCAATAAATCCAAACAGTGGCAAACCGTTATAAGAGCTTTTATTGGCGTCGCAGTCTAATTGTCAATATTTTGCTTAGTTCAACATTGACTCCCATTGGCAAATGAAACTTTAGATTCCTTTAATATAAGGGATGCTATCAGTGAAGGCCGGATTGGTTTTCTGTTTGCTCAGCAGGCAATGTTGCACTAAGCATCATTGCCATGCTACCATGCCAACAATAATAATAGCACCTATTGACGGAACATGGAAATTTAATTTAAGCTTTTAATTTTCTTCCTGCCAAGTTGCCATTACAATGGCCATTACAGTGGAGGCGAAGGTTCTTGTGCGGTGGCGATAGCACAATATAATGTACAAAAGATTAGGAATTCCGTGTATGTGTGCTCACTACACGGCTGAAGGCTTTCGCTAAACGACCATTCGCCAATAGGCCGCCGTGTTTGCTGTTACTTTGTAATTTTCAAGTGACATTTGTAAATTTTGATTGCACGATAGCAAAAGTGCTGTTTCATAGTCTTGTTTTCCGTTTTACTGGCACTCAAAATGTAATGCCACGACGACTGCTGGCCAGAGCAGGCCAGAGCGGCCAGTGAAGCAGTGGACGGAGAAGAGATGGCGAAGAGGGCGCTAATTGGCAAAAGGCATAAACGTACACTGCTCTCTTGCTTAAATGTAATCGATTTCCGGAGTGTTAACACTTGCCTCAACAAGACAACCTCTGTCTGCCTCTAAACACAAACAGTCAGCAGCACCCATAATGACATGCTTTTATTAATTTGCACACTCTTGTTAATCTAGCTTTGATTGAGCCACCAGTGCAGTCACTGCTCTCTGGGCTCCTTTTGGGTAGCTCCTTCGCAGAGAGAGACCGCTTTTCACTGGGGGCCAGTATGAATTCGCCATTAAGGAGGCAGCACTGGTGTTCACCGTTGTGCCCACTGCAACTGACGATCACTGCAGCCATTCGATACACTCGCGCCCATTGTCACTTAATTCTAATGCAATTTCAAGACAGACAATGACATTCAGTAACAGCACTAAATTGTCCTGCCATTTGTCACCTTTGCCCGCCAAGTCGACATTTGTGGCTAATTGCCCACTGCTAGTAGTAATTTCCCTTAAATGCACACACGTGAATGACTTTTCAATGGCAATTTAAAGCAATCAATTCAAAAACTATAATTATGCATACGATTTACAGGGTTGACTCTGCTGAAAGTGGCAATCTATGTCAATTACCGCTTTATTTGTTGTAGAAGACATTTAAAACAGTTAGCTTCTCTGAAGAGCTTTACTTGCTCTCTCCGTTTAATAGATTTTGTTTTAAAAGTGTGTTCGGGGTTCAGGAGTTAACGGAATATCAGCAAAATACTGCAAAGAATTATAAAAATAATTTTAAAGGTAATTTTTCACAGATCGCCTTGTACCAGACGGGCGTATTTATTCTGACTTCCTCGAGCATAGTGAATCCATTGTGTGGCTGAAATGGAGCGCAAGTCCGCATGCATCGACGGCTTCCACTGAAAGCGATCCACGAAAGCGAAGCTGGCACTAAACCGCCTCGGGCGCTGGACGCACTGACGGCAATCTGCTTGTGTCGGTGTATTATTTATTTACAATTTATTTGGCCCATTATGTTTGCAAAAAGGAATCGTTTCCTTGTCAAGCGAATTTGGCCGCTAACGTGCGCGCATCATTTATCTTCACTAAATTGTGGCCCACAATTTGTTCAATTGTCTTTCGCTGTGAATTACGCAGCAGCCTCTCTTTGTGTGAATCTAGACACACAGATCGAGCTCTCGTCCTCTCTTTCACATGAGTCGAATTACGGTAATGGGCCCGAGCAAGGCCACTGCTATGACGGGGTTTCAGTGCAGTCAGAAGGGAAGGGAAGGCTAGTCTGTGCCCAGCGCCCGCACACCGCATCGCACCATCCCCCGGTCTTTAATGAATTTGCAGCGACCTAGACAGAACGCGAGACAGTCTCTCTTCCCTTCCATCCCCTCCTCTCTCTCCCTTTCTCTCAGTCACTTAGCACATTTTGATTTCTAATGGAGCCCGATTTGGCCGCGTGCTCCAGTCCACTGCGGCAGACGTCAATGGCACAGCCAGTAAATGCTAATTCTACGATGATGGCATGTGGAAAGCGCACAGAGAGAGAGAGGGTAGGCAGTCCAATTGGAGCATAAAGGCGCCACTTGCAACGGAGGCTGCACATCTCTCCCATAGTCACAATTGCCAGTTCGGCCTCATCCGCACAAGGACAGAAGAAATGCAAAACTGCAACGTTTTATTGGTGCTGGCAGACAGGGGGCGAACAGCTGATAGAGAGATGCACTCGAGCTAGTCGAGTGGTAGACCGCGCGGCCTGTGTCATTTTAATCATTTATTAATGTTGGAATTAAAATAGTATAAGTTAGTAGCGTATAAAGTAGCAATCGCAAAGAGGGTAATACTTCATCAATCAGAAAAGGAGAAACATATACAACCATAGAGAATGTTAGCATCCAAACACAGTGCTGATCTAACCATCATAACCAAAGAAGAAATCGAAATCTTTGATTAGCTAAAGTATAAAATGCCAACTTGAGTTTTTCATCCAGACAAGTCGTTATCGTCGTATAATATCTGGTCATAAAGTTCCGCTTTGACGATTCTGCCCGCAAAGTATCTTCCGTTGAGAGCATCGCGCGCCTTAATAGCCTCTAAAACGTAAAAAATAAATTATTTATCGCATTCTCTGCCCTGAACTGGCGTCTGTCCAGTTTACCTTTCAAACTCGTAAACTCGACAAAAATTTTTACAATAATTTCCGCGTCTTCCTCTTCTGATTGCTTCTCCTGGTAGATGATTACCTTTCGAACGTTGCCATACTTGCCACATTCTTCCGTCACTTCGGACTCAAGATCGTTGTCGATATCCTCAGCGCCGACCATGTTTCTCAAAATAACAACTCTAGACTAAAATAAGTTTAAGGAAAAAAGTTAAATTACGCAAGTTTTTGGAAAATAAATCAACTTACTTCATTTTTTCTCATTAGCTTATGCATTAACACTTGACGTGCATTTGAACCTTTTATGACGACATTCTCCTGCTGCTGCAGTGTCTGCACCTCTTCCTGAATGGCTTCAATAGGTTGTTCGACCGCTGAAGCTAGTGCTGAGGAGCCATTTTCACTTTTCACTGCCAACACCTTTTCGTTGGCTGTGGTAGAATCGGCAACATTTTCATTTGATGGTGCTCCATTTGAGTTATTTGGTACATTGCCATTTGCATTGGCATTTTTGATCGACAAAGGAAGTGTGGTAACAAGCATTGGTGGTGGAATAATAATTGGCGGAGTTGCAGAGTTTGGAGTTATGGTGACACCCGTTATCAGTCCCGGTGCAGTTGAAGCCATAACTGCTGGCTGAGATCCAAATTGACTGAAAGCAAGTCCCGGTTGTGGAATGTTTGGAGAGCCATTTGTTCCAGCAACGGCATCCATTGCTTGAATTTTAGCTGTAGCCGCAGCGGCTGCAATGGCCGCCGCAGTTGGTAATGAGGTTGGAGTTGTTGGGGCTGCTTCAAAGCAGTTTGGCGGTGTAATTGCTCGGCCAACTCTCAAGTTCTGTCCAGCCAAATCAAACATATTCATAGCAGTAATTGCTTCAACCATTGACTGTTCAGACTCGTATTCTATTGAAAAAATTAAAATATTCAAGTAATCGCTAAATCAATGATCTACAACTATAAAAACTCACCAACGTAGCCAAAACCCTTGTGTTTTCCCACTTGAGCTTGCGCGAGTTTGCACGACTTGACAGTGCCAAAGGCTTCAAATACTGACTGAATGTCTTGCTCTGACAATTCGGGATGAATAGATGAGATGTAAATGCGACTAAAAGACTTTGCTTCAATTTGAATCTGCTCAATAATAGCCGCCGCTTGTGGCATGTTTGACGGTCGACCCACTTTGATATTTCTTCCGCCCATCATAAAACCATTCATCTGTTCTAGCGCCAAGTGAGCTGCTTCAGGAACTTCGTACTCAATGAAGGCAAAGCCTTTGTGTTTCTGGGTAGTTGGATCCCAAGACATATTTATCGTTTTGATGGGGCCGAAAGGGCTAAATGCCTGTCGAACAGTGTCTTCCTTCAGCTCAAAGCTGATTGAGCCCACGTAGATTCGGCACATTAGAACCAAAGCCTGGTGACGCTGAAGCGACTTTTGCTGTTGCTGCTGATAGGCAATGGTTTGTTTTTCCAACACTGATTTGATTGACTGCTCCATGGCAAACTTTTTTGCTTTTGCAATCGCTTCCTGCTGTTCCGGAGTGAGCTTGATTAACGTTGCCGCAAGGGCCGAGGCGCGCAATGCGCCAGGCCCAGCAATGAGCGGGTAGCACTGTTTGGCTGTAATTAGTTCAGTTTGAGCCACATCATCTATAAACAAAATAAGTAAGAAAGAATTAGTTTTGGGTATCAACAATTTTTGTGTAAAAAAGTTAATATGGCATTGTCGCATCAACACATATTTTAAAAAAACTAAAAGATGAAGGGCCAACAACAAGTCCAACGAAAAACGATTCTTTGATCAAGCATTTAAACGGGTGGAATCTAGTGTACACATTAATACAGTACCACTTAGTGAATTAAAGATGGTGAAAGAACCAAACTTTAACTATACAACAACCTACTTAAAAGCAAAAAGAAACAAACAAAAAAAGATTGAGTTGGTTCGTGTAAAAGCATAAATAAAAGAAAAAGTACAATTTGAAGATTTGTTTGATTTGCAAACGCATTAACACAACGTCAACTGTACGCGTTGAAAATGGTCATCTTTTAAACAAAACGGTCAAGAGGGAGTGTTGCATTAGATATCGCTCCACTTTTAGGTTCACCGATAAATGAATTACGTCTGTAAAAAATGATACAAGAAGAGAAAAAGAGAAAGAAAATAATAAAACAGGTTATTTAGTTAATCAAGTTCGTGAGGTTAATTCATATTGAACATGTTGATGTTTTCAGCACACACTGATACAGGTTCCTGATGAAACGTTCTTGCGTTGATGCTTATTTGTTATGTGCCATATTTTAAAATGCGAATGCGACAGCAACCTTGGGTTGATTCGAGCCGAATAAAAGCACATGAAAACGGTGAAACACTTACCCTCCCGCCTGACTCGGGTCATCTCGATTTCTCCGTTTCTTGAGCGGCTCATTCTTGAGTGGTAATTGTTGACCTGGATTAGAAGACTGACACAAGATAACACAGTTGTAACCAAAACAAGAAGATACAGAATCCAGTGAATGTTGAAAAGTGGCGAACTCGATTTTTCACTGAAGGCACACAAATCACACGGCTCAGTGGAAATAGTGCCGACTTGAAAAAAAAATCTGCAGAGTGAAAAACACATTTGATGCACATGGCAGTGGTCAACAATCTTCTAAAAATGGTCAAACAAAAAAAATGGGTAGCTCTTCTAGGGTACTCCGGACATGGGTACTATGGAATGCAACGACAAACATGGTAAGCTGATGAAATAGGTACAATAATGACCAAAAACTTATATTTTGTGTATAACATCTTAGTGACAACAAAACCATCGACAATCTTCCAACGATTGAATCGGAGCTATTCAAGTCGTTTTATGAGGCCGGGATGATCAATGAAAATGAGTTCAACACTCCAAACCTGATGAGGTTCCAAAGAGCTGCCCGTACAGACAAGGGCGTTTCCGCAGTGAAGCAAATTATATCTTTTAGTATTGCCAACGATGTTGCTGAGTACTTACCGAAAGTAAATCAACTCCTTCCACCGCATATTCGAATGTTTTCGGCAAAAAAAGCAACGAAATATTTTGATTCAAAAAACTTTTGCGATGCCAGAACTTATAGCTACTTATTGCCTTCATTCGCCATTTGTCCAGTCGACCAAGTTACCCAGGAAGACTTTACCGTTTCTAAAGAAACAATTAGCGAATTCAACACTATCCTCAAGATGTTTACTGGCACGCATAATTTCCACAATTTTACAGCTGGGAAAAAGCCTACCGATGCCAGTGCAAAACGATTCATCATTTCATTTGAGTGTTCAGAACCATTCCTTATGTCAGATGGAGATAAGAAGATAGAGGTACTTGTAGCCCGAGTTAAAGGACAGAGCTTCATGCTGCACCAAATTCGAAAGATGATCGGCTTGGCGATTGCAGTAATGCGAGGTTTTGTCAGCCCTGCGGCCATTACTCGCGCATTCGGGAACGAGCGTCTAGACGTACCCATTGCTCCTGGTCTTGGATTACTCCTCGAAGAGGTTCACTACGAGCGGTACAACAAAAAGTACGGTGGCGATGGACATCACGAAGCGCTGCTGTGGGATGATGTGAATGACACAATCAACTCTTTTAAAAATGAGCATATTTACCCGAGAATAGTCAAAACTGAGCTGGAGGAGAAATCAATGTTCAACTGGCTGGCCACCTTGCCAATTCACACCTTTGATGTTCGTACTCATCAAATCATTAACAAATCTGATGCAATTGACAAACCACTGGTTCGAGCACATTTTAATGCAACTCAAAAAACCAACGTCAAAGAAAACCCAGCTACAGAGGCAGAAGAAGAAGAAGCCACTAGTTCGGAAAATGTTGCTGAAAAACGTCAATCGCTGGAGATTGAAGATGTTGACAAAGCCGAAGACAAAGCCGAAAAAAGGATTAAACTGGATGTTTAAAGTTAATATAAATTTTTATTTATGTAAAGAAAACAGTATAACAACAGTTATTAAAGAGAATATATTTGTACAAAAGCCATAAAGTTGTGAAAGTCAATTTGGGANAATCGCTGGAGATTGAAGATGTTGACAAAGCCGAAGACAAAGCCGAAAAAAGGATTAAACTGGATGTTTAAAGTTAATATAAATTTTTATTTAAGTAAAGAAAACAGTATAATAACAGTTATTAAAGAGAATATATTTGTACAAAAGCCATAAAGTTGTGAAAGTCAATTTGGGGTCAGTAGTGCAAAGGGGATCACTTGTATGGCAGGGTGACAGGTTTCGCTAGAGAAAACAGTTACAATCGGACTAGTTGAAAGAATCGCTTGTTACAGATTTTTAATTTTATCACTTGAACATCATCTGCACTTGGTCGGAAGGCTAAGTGTGTGTGTGTGTTGGTAAAAACAGACAAAAGTAAGTGTGATCAAGCACTAAAAACAAGGGCAATTACAAAAGAATTATAAAAATAAAAATCCCATAAATTAGAAATGGTCATAAAATCAATCAGTTTGATAAAAACGGGTTTAGACTGTTGTAGACATGCAAACAATATCGACACCGAGCCTTGAGGATCAATCGAGCAGCTTAATCACACACAAAACCACTTCTCCGAGACCATTTAGTATTTTCTTAGACTTTGACTTTTTCTTCTTTTTCTTTAGCTGTATGTTAACTGGCAGAGGATTCTTTTGTTTATCCTTGTCAGCCTTCCCGTCACTGACTGAGTTTGCAGCATCCGAACTTCCCTCATCGTCATCATCGTCATCATCATCTTCGGAAATGTCATCAAATCGTCGCTCGACATCCAGTTTGAAAATTTCCATATGCTTAGGCAGCTGAATCTGGTCATTTCCTTTGATTTTTTCAAGCAAAATTTGCTTTTCCTCATTGGTCAAGATTTCACTGGTATACGGGCCTTTGAGAAAGTCGTCCAGGCTCATGGTGAGGTACCGAGGATAAAAGACAAGTTCGCCCAGAATTTCACGCTTATTTTTATCCGTCAACTCTTTGCAAGTCTTTTTACACTGCTGACACGACCACTGATTAATGGCAGCAAAGATTTCCAGCTCAGTAGCGATGTTCAGTGTGTCCCGCCAAAGAATATTACCGACAAGATCATATGGCAGTTTGGAAAATCCTTCAGAAGAGATAATTTTCTGGGCACAGTAGTCGATAATGTCGTAACATCGAATGATCAGAGTGTTCAGCATCTCGAGTAGATCTTCGTTGGCCGCTGGCTCGTTGCACACCTTTTCAGGCTGATTATCTGCGTTCATCTCGCAGATGTGCTTTAGGTAATTGTGAAAGAATGCAACCACTTCGAGCACATTGTCGTCGTTGGACTGGTTGCAGAGGAATGTCAAGCACAACTTAGACAGCTGATAGAGGCAAAAGCTGTTGGAAGCATTAAAAAGAACCATTGCCTCAGAGACGGACTTGATGACTACCTCGTTTGTGTAAGTATATCTAAAGAGAACGTTTTTTATCATTAAAAAAGATATAAAACGGATTTGCTTTTGTTTTTACTTACTTCAAAATAATGTCGAAAATGTCATGCTCGCACCAGTTAATGCGTATCTCTTTGGTCTCAGAATTGGAATTCTTGTCTTTGACAGTAGCAGCAATGGCTTTAAAGAATGAGCTGGCATCTTCCAGAATGAAACTGTGAGCTGGAAATCGCCACAGTTTACTATCGTTTTGCCCTACTAGAAAGGCCAAGTCAGCTTGTTCCTCATTGTTGTAGAGCACCAAGCCTGGACTAGGCGCAGATGGCAGATCCAGTTTAGAGTCGGAGTGTTGCGAGTCAGCGATGGGTGAGTTGACTTCAAACAAGTTTATTTTGTCCATTTGTAGTTCGTAATTTTGATTTGCTTCACCAGGAACAGGAGACGGCGACTTGGTGGTGGCGTTCGGCTGGCCAGTGACCGCGACGTTTCGTGCACTGGGCGAAGGCGAAAGACGGGCGGCTGAACTGTTGTGCGGTGTATCAAGATGAAATGGCTCACAAGGATTTATCCCCAAATGGCCCACTGATCGAATGACCTTCTTCAAGTTTGGGTACGCTCGAATGTTGACGTTGCGATGGTGCACCGTGTTTTGAAGCAGCTTTTTTGTGTTTACATTTGTAAACTCTTGACACATCTGAGAGAGAAAGCAGAATTGTTAAGAACATTCAATGTTGATGAACGTCTACATGAAAGGGCTAAGCAACTATAACAGGCAATGCAATAGTAATTGGCCGAGTGAGAGGCAAAGTCGGTGACAGGCTAAATTACAAATGACAATGTTATGCGTGGTCACGAGCATGAATGGCGTCATTCTGCCATTAGGGCAAGGGGAGAACCACGTGCAGGTAGATTTCTGTCTGTTGAGTGGAGTGAGTTGCCAGTTCTCCGTGATTCAACACATCTACCTGATCGGAGTTAGTTTACTATCTTAGAAATCGATATTGCGCTCAAAGTTCTTGTTATACAACGGGTAAATCACAGCAAATCGTTTGACTACAGTTTTTTGTTCTGATGCAAAGTCACAGAAATGATCAGTTGTCTGGTTTCAGTCTGACTTTTAAAGCCTTCAAACAAAGGCCATGTTTACAACTGAAAATCCAAGTTCAATAGAGCCCCTTTCAAACTATTCCTGACCTTTCTTTTTCACCACATAAATTCTGCTTGTCATTTCGATTGATGTTTGCTCCCCTCAACAAGGCCAGTAAAGCATGTCAAAACGATGTATTCATCACGTTTACTTTTTAACTGGATTGAAAGGGAAAAGACCACCGAATATTAAGCTTCAAAATTGACAAACAATGTATTACTACTACATCAGATTGAGCATTGCCAAAGTGCGAACAGAAAAGGCAGATTACAAGTGCAATAGATTGCAATGAGTCAACCCAGTCATCATTCACACACACCTATCAGCCTTGAATTTGCCTGCTGTGGTGGTGCCTGTCACCGGGAGACTGCTCAGGAGCTCTGTTCACCGCATTTATTTATAGAATCAGCTCAGCAGATATGCGACAGAATGGCAAAGGAAAGAAATGCTCTCAAAAACCAGAACATGGCAGCCAATGGTGGTGTTTTTCGGTGGTTTTTGGTCATTTAAGCTAACCTTGAATGTTAAGGGAGAAACCAAATGTCTACTAGGGACAAGGGTGAAAGTGAATCGCTTATTAAGGTTACCTAAATTTGTGCTGGAAGCAAACAAAAAGATTGAGTATTTGTATAGGGAAGAGAAATTTAGCACGATGCACTACTTCTCCTTCTATATAAGAACCTCTCTGATCGCCGTCCTCTTAGGGGCACAATTTGAGCATGCGAAGTGTTTAGAGCCCAAGAAATCGATAGATTTGCCTTGAATATTTTGTGAGTAAGGCATCGGGATTGGGCCAAGGCCAGTCTCATGTCAGGTCAGGGGAAGGCAAAGGTTGCAGTGTGTCAAAGGTAGAAGCACTTACCGGCAAACAGCAGTTGCGGCAGCCCGTCGAGGAGAAGCTGTTAATGCAGAACTTGCACCGATTGTGCAGCAGCGAGTGCAGAACCAGATTTTT